CTATTTTAAATACTTTTTTTCTCATTCTTTTACGGTTGCCAAAGTTAGTTGAGTTGAGAGGTCGCGGAATTATTGGTTTGTTTGGTTAGAGCAAAACTTGTTTCGCTCTTCTATCGATTGCATCTTTTCTCACTTTGGAAATAAAAAGAGTGTTCCAAAATTTACATTCGAATTTCGCATTCTTTGTGATGCTAGAACCACAATCGATCGTTTCTCATGGGACCACTCATTGCGAACGATAAAAAAATCGACGAAGATGGATCAAATTAACATATTAAATAATGATGTGAAAATGCATAAAGTGTAATAAAGAAGTAAAGTTTTTGTTTTCTTCCAATGTCTACCTAGAGAATGATCTTCGTCATACAGGCATCTGAAGGTCAGATTTGTTGGCCACTCTTTCAGGGGCACCGTATTAGGTGGGCCAGCGTTGCTCCTACTCTAAGGACAGATAGTACAGAGAATGAAAGAACATCCATGCCTTGCCCGGGAATTGAACTTAGGACCTTTCTAATGCAAGTTGACTTTTCAAAAAAAAATTTTTTTTAATTTTTGAAAAAATTTAAGTTTTTTTTGAATAAGCCAAATTAAATAAAGGTTTTCAAATGCGTTAATTTGCGTTCAAAAGATGTTTCTTAGTATAGTGAAATGATCTATTACAAATTATTATTTTAATTAATATATGTCAATATTTAGTCTCCAATAAAATTTTGATTAAAATTAGTTTCATTTTAGCCTCAGATAAATCTTTCTCGGTTGTGATAAATGATTACTTAACAAATAATCAAGCTTGTCCTGCTAGTGGGGACAAAATCAACATTTTTCTAAAAAAAAATTATGGAAAAAGTAAAAACATTTGAAGTTCAGATATAAAACAGAATGCAGTAAAACGTCCAAATTATTGGTAAGCACTAAACGAGTTAAAAATTCTATTTAATAGGTTTATTTGATGATTTTTTTAAAAAATGTCCACCTAGCACCCTCTCATTCAAAGTAAAATTTAAAACAAAAAATGCTGATCGTTTTGAAATGTTTACAAACTATATAGTTATTACTAAATGAAGTCTATGTACAAAATTTTATGAAAAAATCTTTAATAGTTTTAAAATTACATTATAATTTTTATTTTATTTAAAAAAAAAAAAAACTCTTTATTGCTGAGTAATACTCATTTTCTTTGATTTTTGCGTTCATACTGATTTGGTTAATGATTTAATATAAATAAGTGATTTCAGAATTTAAATTAAGTAATATGTATCAAATGAAATACATTGATTATCAAATATTTTAAAATGAATAATAAATTGAGGAATATTTTATGTCAGATTATTTTAAAAAATATATTTCTATTTTAAATAGACTAATCTTAAGAATTATAAATAAATTTTTTATGTTCGATTTTCTTTAAAAAAAATGAAAAATGTTAAACCTAAACAATTGCGAATTCTATTCTAATCCAACACATGAATTGTCTGAAGAAATGCTTTCCACCTTTAAATTCTAAAAAAAATTAAGATTAATAAATTAATTTTTGATGTTTAATTTTTTAAAGAAAAATGTTAAACCCAAACAGTTGCGAAATCTGTTTTAATCCAACACATGTAGTAAAGTATTATCTAAAGAACAATGTTTTCCCCCATTAAATTCTAAAAAAATTAAGAAGACTAAATTAATTTTTGATGTTTAATTTTTTAAAAAAACATATAGTAAAATTAAACTTAACATATTAAACCCAAACAGTTGTGAATTCTATTTAAATCCAATATATGTAATAAAATATTATATAAAGAACAATATTTTCCCCATTAAATTCTAAAAAAAATTAAGAAGAATAAATTAATTTCTGATGTTTAATTTTAAGAGAAATATATTAAATCCAAACAGTTACGCATTCTATTTTAATCCAACACATGTAGTAAAATATTATCTGAAAAACAATGTTGTCCCCCATTAAATATTTTTAAAAAATTAAGAATAATAAATTAATTTTTGATGTTTAATTTTTTAAAAAAAATATTACACTCAAACAGTTGCGAATTCTATTTTAATCAACACATGTAGTAAAATATTATCCAAAGAAGTTTTCCCCCATCAAATTCTAAAAAATATTACTCTTTATTTTTTTAACTACTGTAGGAAATAAAATTATAAGAAATGAAAGTATTGTTAAGATGCAGTACAGTCGCATGTGGTACTTGCGGTATAAGACTCTACATTGAAAAAAAATCTTGTGGCGGAAAACAACAATAAATTGAAGGAGAAATAATGTAATAAACTCTGAAGGATTCAAAGATAAGTTTAATAAATACCGAAGTGAAATAAAATAAAAAAATATATATATATATACATGGATTTTGTGCCTATAGATCACATGGCATTCTGTGACATTTCTAATACAAATAAAAGCAAAATGTTCTTATTTTTTTATTAAGTTTTAAAATAGTTTATACAATCATTTTTTGGATTGAAGAAAAGTTTGTTGATCCATGGAAATTCCGTTGATTCCTTTAAAAAAAAAATTTTTTTTCATAACAAACAATTTGTTTTATAACTGTATTTCCTGAAAATAATAATAAGACATTTATCACTGGTAAGCTTAAATATGTATGAGTTTAATATATGCTTACATATTAAGCTCTTTATATTTAATGAAAGTAACATATTATTTAAAAAAATACAAAATAACTGGGCTTTGATCACTTTAAATCAAACGTGTAACTATAAAAAACATTATGTGATATGCGACACTGTGAGTTGTGTATAATACGTATTTTTAAAAAAGGGCTTTACCTATTTACTGCATTTTATTATTCTACTATTGAGAGAATCAAGATCTATGACCTCCAGAATAAAGGAAGTATTTACGGACTTTAATCTCAATAGAATATAAATGTATTGAATCAATTTTTCATGAAGATGATGTACAAAAATGTGAAAAAATAAATTTTAAAATTCTAAAAACTATCATGAAAACCGAAGAATAAATAACGAAAACTAACAACGAAATGTTAAGAAAATCCGATTGATGGAAAATAAGAACGGTTGTCACCCCAGTTTCTCTTTCCAGCTATAGCAATCACTTCAAGCGTATAAAAATTGGCTTGTCTCAATCTTTTCGAGTTAGTTACAAACGTTTTAATAAGATTCCTCTCTATGGGGAGTATATACTCTTTTGGGCACACGAGAAACTTGGCGAAAAAAATCTAGTTGAGTTCCGAATTTTGTGATCGCTAAGACATCTCATTCCTTTTCTTTGCTCAGTGGCGTTTTCTACATTTTATCGAGGCGATAATATGCACATTAACGACTTCCGTGTAGTTAAAGTTCAAAAGTTTCTTCCTCGCAAACTTCTTTTCATTTTGTTGATTGCTTGTCTGTAGTAATTGATTCATAAAATATTAAAAAAACAAAATTAATCATAGTAAATGACATGACGTAAATTTCTTCAATTAAAAAAATATTTTTAGCTGTCTGATTATTAGTCCTCAAATTTTAAAGATGTCGTTCTTAAATGTTTCTTCGTAACTTTTCATTAAACTAATAGATGGCGCTACAAAAAGCGTGTCTAAATATTTCATTTTTAAATTTATTATATTTAAACTTTTTTAATCTTCTTCAGAAAAATGCTTCGAACACATAAAAAATTATAGCCTCAATATTTTAATTTAATAGGATTACAAGAGGTATTAATAAGTACTAAATAAATACTCTGAAATATATTTTATTAAAAATAATTATATAGGATAATATATAGTATTTATGATACTCCATAGATGACGCCACTAAAACTGCACCTTAATTTCTTAATTCTATAAATTATACTATTAATTAATTTTTAATTCTATTACAGAACGCTTTCAAAATATGTAAAATCATATCATATTTCAAATAGATTTTAATTTTTAAAAATGTATAAAGAAAAAGAAAGCTTTGACTTATACGAAAAAATATACAAATAATAACACAGCAAAATTTATTAAAAAATTCTAGCTGTACAATTTGACATTACGCAAGTGTGAAATATTTCTGCAGTAAATATTCTAAATAAGTTCCAATCGAAAATTAAAAGATTAAAATTTTCAAGAAGAAAAATGCTTTCATGGCAGATATTCAGTAAATTTTACTTTGAAAACAATATTCTTTCATTTAAAGGAAAGCGTTTGGTATTCAAATAATTTTTTGAATAATTTTTACCATTATAGTGAAATAATATATTTGTTTTGAACTCTCTCACTCTCTGAAAATTTATTTAAAATTTTAAAACACAGTTACAATTCTTTTTTTATTTTTATTAATTTTTTATTTATACTCATTTTAAACAGCTAAAAAGAAGGAATTTTTTTTAAATATATAAAAAAATTCCTTTATTGCATATTTAATTGAAAATAAAAGTATGTTAAAAATACTTTAATACTAGTTTCTATACTAGTTCTATGATTTGCAGCTGCAAATCATAGAACAGACAATTTTTTTTTTCGTTTTAGTTATTTCCTCCACCTATTTTATTAATTTCAGTACTAACAAAATAATCGAATTAAAATAACATTAAGTTACAAAAAAAATGGATAATTTAATGATAAAACGACATTTAATATAATATATCTTTTATCATAAAAAGTTTAGAGAAGCCGATATCAAAATCTAAAACGACACATAAATAGAATATTTTTATTTTAAATATGGATTTTGTCTAAACTTTACAACCGTAGTGCATAATTGAGTTATACATTTAAAAAATATGGAGGCGCCGGGTATCGATCCCGGTACCTCTCGCATGCTAAGCGAGCGCTCTACCATCTGAGCTACGCCCCCGATGATTGCTTTGAAAATTTTAATTTAAGCTTCATAAAGAAACAACTTTAACAAAGTGTTTGTTATTTTTTAATCATAATGTTTTTATAACATTCATTAATTTATTTTTAGAATGGAATAATTTTTAGAATTCTCAGGATTTGTCATGGAAATAGAAAAAATATTGATAATTAAAATTTATTTATTTAAACTGCAACCGTTGTATATGCATTCCTGTTCCATGCTGAACATAAAAACAACTAGTATAAACAAACACCGGTTCTTTTGTATGTGATTAAGTTAATCGTTCTTTTTTTCACGAATTGTCTACAATTAATATTTGTTATGGAATCTCATCTGCAGTTAAAATTTGTTACAAAACAGCGGGAGTAAGTCTTTTTCTGTTTTGGCGATAGCTATTGTTATATGTAATTTTAACTTGATTTCCTCTATTAGCGTTTATAACGTGGACATTAAATCTCAAGTTGCTGTATCATCAGTGCATTAAAGTGTTCTAAATGTTTATTTATAATCTGTGAATACTCAAATAAATCTGGTAAAAATTACAAAAAAGCAGTTGGAGTTCTTGATTTTTTTTAAATGAATCATTCAATTGAAAATAAATTTATAAATATATTTTTTAGGATGTGATTCTTAAAAAGAATCTGATTTAAATAATAATGAAAATGTTATCCAAGGAAATAATAAAGTTTAAATTATTATATTTAAAAATAGACTATTAAATAAATAAAATTAGAGAGTAAAAGTGGATAAGAGTAATATTAAACTGATGAATTATAATTTTTCATTAGCTTTATGAACTTCATAAAGACTAATAATAACTTTTTAGTTTGAAATATTAACTGTTTAAGTTGTTTTGAAATAATCGAAAGTATTGTTAAAGCATTTTATCTGATAATTTAGTCAGTAAATATATATAAATATATTAAATCCGATTTTATTTATATTTTTGAAGAAAATCTTTATTTTTGCCAACCCTGATTACTACTATTTGTATACTCAAGTTATGAATATGAATTTCAAGTTATGAATATAAATTTTAAGTTATGAACTCAAATTATGGATAAAAATTTCAAGATTTTAAAAATATGTTATATTTTGGAACTCTAAAAACTATTAAAAACGGGCTATTTAAAATAATACTAGAATAGATCATTCTTTATAAATTCTCCATAGCTGCCAACTCTACTGGATTTTGCCAGTTTCTCCTATCTACTGATTTAATAAAAATTCTCCTGGTTTTTGTACATTGTAGAAAATTCCCTAAAATTGAGTAAGTTTCCCTAAAAGATCCCTATTGAAATCGAAGTTTATACAGATAATTACTTTCTGGAATATTTTAAAAAGTGTCACTAATACACGATAAAGCGAGCCTCATTTTTAAAATTCAGTTAACTATCTTTGATGAATAAAATGCCTATTCAAAATTATGAGTTAAAATATTGCGTAACATTTAAAGACCATTTAATGTGAAATCATAACTGTGGAAAATATTGCAGTTTTTCTATTTTGATGGCCATAAAAAGATCCCTATTTAGTAGGTATATTTTGCAACAATTATCATGAAAATTATATTGTTTCATAAAATCTACTGGATTTTTTCCTATCCCTGTTGGCAGCTAGGATTTTCTATCTGTTATAAAATGTCACTACAGTGACAATTTTATAGATATGATGATTATTAATTAATCAAAGAAAAATAATTTTTTAAAAAGAACCTGAATTTATAGAGCGAATTTTTTTTCAATTGCACTTTTTTTCTTTTCCAGAGCTAGCGAACCAGCTGTTTTTGATGTTTTAATTAATACAATATTATAAATTTTAAGTTAATTATATTGTAGATGGCATTAACTTTTTTTTTCAACGCATAATCTATATTTCTAATTATGTTTTCATGATTGCAGGTATGCAGTTCCAGATAATCCATTCTCAGTTCTTGATTCAGTTTCAGTGAAAGAACTGAATCAGTTGATTAACTCATTATTAAAAGGTACAATATCTTGTTTTGTTCATGTTTGAATTGCTCACTGAAAACATCTGCAGGGGTCTGTGTAGAAGAAATTTGGGTCCGTTAACAGACCCTTCACAAAATATAATTTCATTAAAACAGACCCTTCACAAACTATTTTAACTTAAGAACGGACCTTGACAAAGTGTTTTTTCTTATAATCGGACCCTTCACAAATTTGTTTATCTTCGTTATTGTTTTGTTAATCGAATGTACCATTCCCAAGGGAAAAAAGATAAAGATAGATGTAAACGAATTAAGTTTTGTCTTCGGCAGACGCTGAATATTCGTCCGAAATGAATATTCTGCGTTCAGCAGTATAGGCTAAATACCAAATATTTGTATGTTGCTTCTCTAATTTAGAAGCAGCAATTGCTGTTTATTTTTGAAAATTTTATTTTTTTAATTATAGTTTTACAGTGTTGAGCATAATCTTGTATCTATTTACAATTTAAAAACTCCTTGAAAAAGTTTTTTGCAATAAGGGCCGGACCCAATTTTCACAAATTCATAAAATTAGGACCCTGGTTGAAAGAATGTAACTTAACATTTATTTTATATTCGCCAATTACGAATATTTTTTTCACAATTTTATAAAAACAGACCTTCCACAAAATGTCTGGACAGACCCCTGATCTGCTGGAGTCAATTTGTTATTACTTATTTTGTGTTTACATTGTGCCTGAAATATGAATAATGGTTTTACTCTATTAACATTTCATGTGCAATTCCTTGTGGCAGAATGTTTTTGAGCTATCTGCGACAAAACTCTCTTATACTAATATCTTTCTGCAATCCACTGTGTTTGCAAACAACAAAGAAAAAAAACTGTATATATTTTTATTTGAACATGTAATAGTTTTTTATTCCAATATTATGGGTGATCATCTCCATTTTGTTAGGGGGGGGGGAATACAGCTTATTTCCTTCTTCACATTTTGAAAATAGTCATCACAGTAAAAGTAATAATTAAAAATCGTGAAACCCGTAGTAGTAGTTGTCAAAAAAGATCAACGACGAAATCGCACAAATCGGACTCCTCATATGCATGTTTCGTTTCTAGATTAGGTTGTTGTGATAAATAGTATCATCGTATAAAAAATATCGGATTTAAACACTATGAAGAAATCAATAACTGCCAAAAAAATGATAGAATTATTGCCTCAAACAGTAAATACTCAAATGCACGAAATGTATTGGAATAAAAATCAATATCAATAACTGCCGAAAATCTAATCAAAACATTGTATCGACTTACAATACTATCAGCGTAAATTGGATGCGCCAGAAAATAATTATCTAAATGGATGGTTCAAATTTTACGTATAAACTTCTGTAGAAAAGAAAACTGAAATTTTTTTACTTTTCAAAAACATTCTGCAGCAATGTCGCTGTGATTCTGCCACAGGTGAAAGAGTCAATTTCTTGTTACTAATTTTGTGTTAATGAAATATAATGCATGAAATATCAATAATGTTTTTATGCCATCAATACTTCATATGCAATCAATTATACATTGTTCTATTTTAAGTGAATTTACTGCCATAATTGTGTGAATAAGATATATTTTTCCGATTATACGTTTTCATGCATGCAGTACCTTTTCATGCATATAGCAGTATTTGAATCTGTAATAAATGCATACCTGCCAAGTCTCCTGTATTTTACGACTATCTCCTGTTTACCTGTATATTCTCAAATTTCTCCGTATTTGTTGAAGAATTTATAAAAAATTGGCGGTGAAATATCCTCTGGTAAAATTACTCAAAAAGTAGTGCTATTGCCAGTACGGCAGTATGTTTAGTGTTAATAGTTTAAGTACCCCTCGCGGTCAGGCAATGCGTGGAACGTTTTTGTGGTTTTCCTCTCTCTATAACAAAAATGCGGTAGCATCAAAAATTCCTCCACAGAAGGCAAATTTCTCCCAATATTTGATCTAGGAGTTCCCTTATCTTCTGGATTGGGTTCAAAATTACAAGGCTACAGAGTGTAACATTAGTAGCCGCGAACCCATAAGCGGGTCGGCTGTTTAACAACGGTTATAAAATAATTTAAGTAATTATGAATAATGGTTTAAAAAAATCTTCTTTAGATTAAGATTTATATACATTTTACTTCGCTAACTGTAAGTGCTGATATTATTTCCTTTTCTCTTTTTGACTTACATGTTTATGCATGATGTATCAAAACTTTACGCATAACCTCAAATATGTGGTTAGTAAAATTTTCGTTATTTCATTTCTCCAATGTTGGCAGGTATGTAAATGACTTTTGCATTTTTGTGGTAATTAGTTTTTTTAGTTATGGTAATTTTAAAAAGGATTTATATAAGTACCAATGCTTCAGCCAATTGCATAAGCTTTTGCAATTACACTCCATTTTCTTCCTTTCCGCATTGAGGCTCAAATTTTCTGCAATTTGAAAATGTACATTGAAACTTTGTACCTTCTTGAAATTACTTCTAGACATACGTGTGTAAAGATAGGCTCTCTGCCTTGCTCATACAATGACATCATAAATTTTTGTTGTGCTCCACCCAGATCAATGTTGTTGGTCATTAATTAATGAAAAACTGTACAAAAAAAAAGAATCATATTTTTCTTCTATTTTTATATCTGTTTGAACTGATTGTGTTAATTTCCATAGTTGCTACTTAAATTAGTTGTAAAATACAGAGTTGCATATTTAAAACAATAAGCTATAGATTAAATCAAATTTTAATATACGGGCTTTGTTATCTCTCCCTCGATAAGCTCTTGCACCTACTTTGCAGTATTATACGGGATTGAGTATGTTTCCTTGTGGCCTAATAGTAAGTTTTGTAATGGCATCATATAATGAATATCAGGATAAGAAAAGACATGGGCAAAGACTATATGAATTTCATACGAAATTGTCATAATTTGAATGTATTTCAACTAGAACTGCGTTATGTAAGAAATTTTATATAGTTTGTTAGACATTGCTGTATAGCGATCTATTACAATATAACTCTTTGAAAATTATCAATCAAAAATAAATGAAAGGAATAAATCTATAACAAAACAAAATGCTAATTCAAAAACAACAAAAAATGCATAATACATTAATAGCATTGCTTAATTTTTTCAATTAAAACAATAAAGAGGGATTAATTTAAATAAAAACAGACACAAGCTTAATTAAATTTTTTTTAATTAAAAATGTCTTTTATTACTTTAAAAATAATAATAAAACTGAAACGAAATATTTTGCGTATTAAAAATAAATAAAAAGCTAAACAAGGAAATATTTGTTTGAGTAAAACATATGTTAAATTGACCTTTTATTTATTTATTTAAAATAATAATATTGTATTGACTAATGATCAAATTCCATACCTTATAAATATTAAAATTAACGTAGGTCTTGTTTTATTTATTTATTATTTTCTTTTTTGAAAATAAAATAGACTTAAGATTTATTGGTTTAAAAATAATACTGATTACTTAACAACACATATTGAAAGAGTTTAAAGAAACATTTTAAAAAATGCTGAATTTTATAGTGCTATTGTTAAATTATTGAAAAGCATCAAAACATTGCTTAGCTTTTAATTTAACTGAAAATTTTTTTTTATTTTTACTAATAGCCAATTTTTAAAAAATAAATAAATAACGCAAACTTTCTTTTAATTCTCTCAAGAGTAAAAACAAATTTAACATTTATGGGCTTCAGTTTAATTTTTTTTATAATTAAAAAACGACTGAAGATTTATTGGTTTAAAAATAAATTAAATTTTATCAAATTTTTATACTTACGTGCATTATATAAATTTTTTAAAAAAACTAACTTTTTCTAGCAAGGTGTAAATTACCTGAATACAAAATATCCCTATTCTATGGCTTAAATGAAAAAATTGATTCAAGGTCATTTCCCCCATAAAATGCGTTAACCAGCTTGAAATGTTCCGAAATATTTTGTAAAATAGGGAATGTGAATCGCTAAGAAAAGTTCCTTAGATAGAAAATTCATTTCGCTATTTGGAAGTTAATTTACGAAGAGATTTCCAAAGTGTTCTTGGTTCCTCGAAGGAAAAAAAACAACACAAAATAGGGAAATTTGCAAAATAGAAGTGCGTTAAAAGGAGTCCGACTGTATTTCAATTGCATATTTTATTGCTGTGACAAATTAATATTTATGTAGATGGAAGAGAAGATAAAACAGATGAAGAATTTGACTTTTTACTTCTTGGAGAATTGGTTCGTTCTTCATTGGCTGACCATTTGGTATCCAAAAATGCTACAAGCGTAAGTAAAACACAACAATTTTCTTCTCTTTTATTTCACATTTTTTAATATTTTATTTTGTTGACTGACTTTTTTTATACAAAAGTACTTAAGTTTTGCCATTTTGCTGATGTTTTAAATTAGTATTTCATTTAGAATAAATTATAATAATTTTTTTTTAAATAAAGAAATTTCACGAAAAATAAATTTGATAAATTCTTTGCTGCAATAATTCATTGAGTCAATGTCAAAGTTATTATTTCATCAAATGATTGACCTATCAAACCCAGGCACACGATCGGAAAAGTTTTTATTGTAAAGCAAGTATGAGAAAACTTATGGCAATGTGGCATAACTACCACTTCGATTATTAAACATAAATTCACTAGTATATAAGACTTGTAAACTCTATTATATCTTGAGGTACCTTTGGCTGGATGAAGGTTGGCATTGTCGATAACTACACAACCCACAGCACTGATTATGATCAATGTCCAGCGAGTTCTTTTAGTGACTAATTATTCAATTGGTTTTAAAACGTCATCTTATAAATTTAAGACTAATTTCTTGAATTAATTAATGAAAGGAGTAAAATGGTATTAAAATTCATAAAGAGGTTTCAAATCAATCTTTTTCCCTTTCTGAAAATGCAAATCCCTCACAACTTCTTTAAAAAATTCCTGCTCTTTTGTGACATCCTTGTATAACACCACTGCTACAGTAGCCCTACACTCAAGTGATTGCCCCAAGCAACTTCTTTTTATTTCAGAGTATCACTAAATGCCATTTTGACTGTATTGGTGCTAACCAAGCAGTCGTGACCCCTAGTGGGCATACTGTAGAGTCCGTGGGTAAATGTGTGACTGCCAGAAAATCTTTCATATAATAATAAGCTTAATAATTGTTTTAATCATTTTTATAATTGAAACTAATAAGTATGATTAAATAAATTTTTTAAATTGTTTCTATTCTTTTTTTGGAGTTGCTGAATTAACATTCATAAATATATTCTTTTAGGAAGCTGTCCTTGAGGTAGAATACTTTGTTAAATATCCAACTCCTACACCGGACGACAGCTTGGCTCATGATGATTGGGTTAGTGGAGTAAATGCTACAAAAGACTGGTGATTTTAACTTTTTATTATTATTATTATTAGAATTTTATTTACCTCACTTTTGTTGGTTCTGCTGTTAACTTGCAAGCACCTAGTCCCACTTTTAGGGCTCTATCTTTTAACACCTTGGTCAGACGCCTGAGCTTCGAACTTTCCTGCCACAAGCGAGGTGACTTAAAAGATTTAATGTGTCAATTGCTTTTTTCGGCCACCGTCCAACTAGCTGTAAACTTGCAACTATGTTACTGTGTGGCCATTTAGTAATATTTAACACACTTATTTGGTTATGTTTTTATAAATTTCTTTTGTGAGTGTTTTAATGTCCCAGTAGCAGAATTTGAAGAGCATCTTTATAAATTCAAATTTGGCTGCTTCCTCAATGTAGTCAGACAGATATTAATGTAACTTTACTTTTCAATCCAGATTTTTCTAGGTAGAAATATAAGGCCCTTAAAATTACGCATAATGTTGTTTAAGTTGAATTTTATGCAATGATACTAAAAAAAATTGTCTCTATAGACTATTATTAACTTACAGAAGAAAAACAACCATTTTTTGTTCTTTGTGGTGTTCTCCCAATTCATTTTTTCAATTTTTATTCAATATAAATTTAGAAAATCTGTAACTGTGCTAGACTTGGGAAATTGCAGGTCCTTTGGGCCTAAAGTTTGGTTTTAATTTTGCCTACATAAATCAGCTGATGTGCTATGATTTTTTTTTCTGCGATGAAGAATTGCACACCACAATATGGAGTCACTGCAATTTTCTTCCCTTTGTTTGCTTTTTAAAAAGAAAACTTCAATAAATCTGCAGCGCCTGCTGCTGTGGCACAGCTAGTTTAATGAATGAGGAAAGAGAATACTATTTCTCTCTTTGTACTGTTTAGACTTGATTATTTTATGTGAGCAGCAAATTCTGTTCTTGATGTCGATTATCTTAATTTTGCTAAAGAAATCTTTCACTATTGCTAGTGCAATTTAATCATCATGGCTTTCCATTTATGTTAAGAAAAATGTTTGTTTTTTTATTACAACTGAATCTCGAAATGAAAACACACATTTAGTAACCCCTCTTTGAAGAGTAATTCACATCACTTCGCCGTTGAATTTTTTTCCGGTTTTTAACTGCTACAAATTTAAAGTTTTTTTTTTATTGTGATGATGAATTACAAAATGCAAGAATAATGCCCATAATGTTAGAGTTTGAAAAATATTACATATTCATTTAAGAAATTTTTTTATTTGATCCAATTTTTTTTATTTTTTGTTGAAATTAAAGCTTCTGTTACTTTAAATTAGCAACACATATATTTGTTATTAAGTATTTTGCAGGAAGAAATTAGTATTAGAGAGGTCTGTGGCAGTAAGCCCGAAAAAATTCTGCCTCAGGAAAATAAACATAGAAATATGTGCATGCTCTGCATTTTACAAAAGCGACCACACACCATACTAGCCACATTTTCACTGCCATTTTAACTTGGACTTCTTTGGATTCTTGACTATTACTCTTAATAAAAGGCATTTTCTGAAATGCTTTAGTTGTTGATTTGCTCAATTGCCTTATAATTCTTGTTTAGTGCATATTATTGTCATGCAGTAAACTGTGTCCATACCTAATTTTATTTATTTCCCTCCAAGTTATTTGGGAAAATTTTAACTTAATTAATCTTAATTTTCCCCACCAATGTATATTAATTTGGGAATATTTTATAATTTTGGAAAAACATGCAATGTGATGAACAATTTTACCATTCAATTTTCAAGTGTTTTTGACTTTCAATTTTAGTTTTTTTTCTTTCTTTTTTTTTCTTCTAAGTTTGCTACCTTTCNTTTTTTTTTTTTTTTTTTTTTTTTTTTTTTTTTTTTTTTTCTAATTTTTTGAAAGTATGTGACATTTTTATTCAGGGTGTGTAGCGTTTTTCAGAAATGCTTATTTTTGAATTTTGTTTATTAGAGCATTTAAAGGTGCTTTTTTCAATAGGTGTTTTTAAAAGGTACCCAATTTCCCTTTTCCAAAATCAGATATATATTCTTTGCCATGTCGATTTTTGCAATGAATTATCCAAAAAGCTTGGGTATCAAATTGTTCTATTTAATGTTTTCACAATTTATTCAACTACAATCCATTTTGGCGTACCTTCAGCTCGTAGCGTCTGAAAGCGTCGATCATTTAACATGTTTAGTGAAATACTTACGGGTCTGCATGTGCATATACTGAGCTGGATTCAATGGTAAGGATTCTTGCTCTCTTATGTGCAACTCTGCTGCATTTTGAAAGGCATTCTCAATTTCAGACTTCATTTTCTGCCCTTTGACATCGAACCGAAAAATCTCTCAAATTTTTGCTGTTCACAAAGGAACAACTAAGCAATTGCGATTTTTTCCCTAATTACAAAAGGGAATGTTGTTTCTCTTGTTAATTTCATAATTGGTGAAGCGCCATCGTCTTCATCACTGGCAAACTAATGACTTTTTGTGCTTTGATATTTATAGAACAGTGCCATAATCCTCGAACTTAATATGCTGATCTATTTTACTATTTTAAATGTAGTAAAAATTTCAAGTTATACAGATTTTTTGATATTATTCAATTATCTCAGATTTGTTGAATATTTTGCAATTTTTTTTTAATTGTTTCATTAAAAAAATATATTAAATCAAGTAACATTTATGAAAAATTATTGGAGCCATTCATTAATTCACATTTGTAATATGAATTATTAAACTTTTCATAGTTTGCTTAGTTCTTTATATATCTTTATGAGTTTGGTATGATCAATAATATTAATCTTGTTAATGTTTTTTTGAATATGCTTTTATAAAAATACTATTATTTAAATCTAAAAAATAAACTCTATAAACTTTTTAAACAATAGTTGAATTAACTGAAGTTTTGAATTATATTTTTTTACGTAACTAAGTAAAGTAATTATTAATTTAAAAAATAAAATGAGCCATTTATTTTTTAATATATTTAAAATTGTGCATAAATTTTATTTATGGTGGCTAATATAATCAGGGAAAAAAGTTTTTTTTGTCAGAAACAAATTATTTTATCATAATCATGTAAAGTCATGAGGAACTTTTAACAATAGAAAGAAATTTTTTTTATTTGTGAGTGTATCCTAATTATCCTTTCTTTTTTCTTATTGTTTTAAAGGTGCTTATTTTTTGTTAAATAATTTGGCTACTCATCTTGTTATTATTTTTAAAAGTTTGTACTATTTTTTGCAGGATTCTTTCAGGCTGTTATGATAACACTGTTCATATTTGGAGCATTGATGGTGAGCATAAATTAACTATACCTGGTCATTCAGCTCCTGTTAAAGCTGTTGCCTGGTTAAAACATGGTAAGTGTTTTTTTTTTTTTTTTAAGAAACTTCTTTAACCCTTTAACGCACAAATTTTTTGAAAAAAAAAACGGCCAAAAAAATAAAACATTTTAATGTAAAAAAACACATTTTCAATTCTTGCTTATATTCGAGTGTGAAAAATTATATCAGCTTAAAATACAATGCCGCGAATTATCTTGAGTGTGCACAGTTTGGCCTGTTTAGCACGCTCGAATGCACAAGTTAAGATGTTAATGTGCATCAATTTTTATTTTTACGTATGTTTGCTTCATAGATATCACTTCATATTTACAACACTTTTTAGATCAAATGTTTCCCCTTTTTAATTTTGTTTAAAATCTTTTATCTTCTTTGCTTATTGTTTTTTATGTATATACAGTGAACAAAAAAAAACCTGAATAACTTTTCATTATAATGATCAGATTTTGACGTAATGAGTGTCAATATTAATAGTTTCTGGGGGTGACTTCAAATATGCTTATTAATAAGTGCTAACTATTGTTTAAGTTGCAAAATCAGACACAAAAATGCACTCGAGATAGCAACCGACTGTGTATGTGTGTGTGTATATATAAGTACACACACACACAAGTGTGCAAAATCTGTGGAATGCATTTTTACCTTTCTGTGGCCTTGTATAGTTTGTCCCCATCATTCTTAAACAAGCCGACATATAAGTAAGTTTTCTTCCTGCTATTTGTTCGGAAATTTAACCTTCTTCGATTAAAATTCTAAACTTTGCACACAGCTCAGTAGAGTATTCCTATTTTTTTCTTATTAATATTTCAAGTTGTGTAAGAAAAAATTCTACAAAAGCAAATATCAATGTTAAATTCATTTGTATAAAAATTATTATTAGAATTCAGTAATTGAATATGCAAATTCTGTACTTATTAGGTGAAATTGTATTTTAACTGAATATTATTACTTTGATGTAAAAAATCGGCTAAACACTAATAAAAAATTATGTTAAATACCTGACTGATATGAAAATTGTATTTCTTGTTGATAAGCATACTAATCAAGTTTAGAAATAGGATTATCATACCTGCCAACATTTAATCACTTTCATTATGATTTTTCCCAGTGGTATTATATGGAATTAAAATTTCAATTTTTAGCAAAAAAATACGTTGTATTTGAAAAGGCTTAAGCTGACAACCATGATATTAATGCATGCTAATATATATTCTTAATTTTTTTAAGAATAGTGGTGATCAAAATCATTTAAAAATTAGGTTTATAAAAGTAAAAATAGTACATTTTTACTACCACTTTAAATATAAAAATAAAATTTTACGCCAAATGCGTAAAAGTTGGCAGGTATGGATTATACATTATTTTATTACATTTCGAATTAACACTGTATGAAATTGAGTTTAACCAAAGTGTTTTGTATGCTAGTATATATATATATATATATATATATATATATATATATACATACCCGAGTTTACTCGAGATAA